TATTTGTATTTACTTTTATGTACAAATAAAATAATATTGAGGGTAAAATATGATTTTCATCTATATGGTTAAAGATAAGAAACATAGGGCTAAAGAGAGAGTCAAAAAAGGATCTTTCGTATATAATCTTGCAATCCAAAGAACAGTGAATTTTCATAGGGTCTTTCTGTCCAGGTGCAAGTAGTCTGCATCTTCACAGACATGTCTATTTCACTGAGCATCTCTCCGAGACAGTGTCCAGATCATTACGCCTTTCATGCGGGTCCATCAACCTGCTGGTTCTTTTTCTGAAGTAGCAATGGGAGAATTCAACCTAATATCTCGCAAATTGACGTCTTCTCGTTTAAATTCACCATATATATATATACAGAGAGAGAGAGAGAGAGAGATGACGGTAATCAAATGAGAATCATAAAAACATTTGAGAACACATGAAAACTAATCTAAGCCATTTATTGATTTTAATCTATGGGCATGAAAGACAATGACAATTTTGAAATGATTTAGAAACTTGTAGTTTATTAAGGAATAATTTTTGAAATTGGAGGGCAACTTAGGGTTTTTAAATACAACAAATAGGCTTCATCGATCAACGCTAGGCTCTGCCTCACCCATCGGCCCCTTCCACTGCCTCATGCGCGTCGCGCATGATAGCTTTATATCCTTGAGACCACGAATCCGCCTATATTTACCATCACAGGCCCTCTTCTCCGACTATAACTCGATGAAACCTAAGATCAAGAGCAACACAAGTGGCTACCACTGGCAACTGCCTCTCTCTCTCTCTCTCTTCTCTCATTCAAACTCCAGAGAACACCGACAATGGTTCTCCCATCCCGAACCTTGTTGAACACTGACCACAACCCCAGTACTTGATGGAAACCCTATGTTATCGCTCCTTCGACCACGATCATTATTCATCGAAGTCCACCAAAACGAGATTCACGTTTTGATGATCAAATGATCGATTAGGTTTTATTGTCTACATATCAAAAGAATAGGAGTTTTGTTTCTGATTCTTTTATATCCATTTCTATTAAAATCAAATAATTCGTTGTAAAATGATATGGAACTCAGATTTCTCACTTGATTCCAAATGAAGGTTTCCAATAAATCTTATCTTCGATTTCTTCTTGAACTCTTTTATTTTTCATTGAAAATTGTGTTTGGTTTCATGAGATGAAATAACATATAGACGTAAATTGTGTTTGATTTTATGGGTTGAAATTGATTATAGATAAAAATTGCGTTTGATTTCATGTGGTTAAATAACATATATACGAACATTATGTTTGGATTTCACGAGGTGAAAGAGCATATTAATGAAAATTGTGTTTTATTTCATAAGGTGAAATAACATGGTGAATATGTGTTTGATTTGGTGAATCTCTGTACCAAAATGATGATTATGTCATTTTCTAATTAAAAACAACTTCAAATTAAAACCATAGGGTCAAAACCATTTTAGGGCTTAGATCTGTTTTCATGGTTCTCAATTTTTTTTTGTCTTACATGATTTAACCCTTATATATAGGGTTAGATTTAGAAAGAAAAAAAAAACTCTAAATAAATGGAAAATCGGAAACCATTAAAAAAACGAATGAAAGAATATATGAATATGGATGTCAAATTAACGAGAAAAATATGATTGTTTTTTGGAGTAATTTGTTTCGCTCGAATTTTGATCATATTTTGGATTTTTTGTCAATTTAAAAAATAGCGGGTGAGAAATTTCTAATTTAAAAATAAATCTGTAACTATCTTTTTAATCACATTCAATTAATCTAATGGATAATTGATTTTTTTTGTTGTTTTTTATGTTTTTAATATTTTCTCCTAAACCTCCCTCTCCACACACACACACACACACACACATATATATATATATATATAATCATAGGTTATTTTGAGAAGTGCTAAATATTTGAGGAGTAAAGAAGTGATACTAGCTTTTCATATGGTTAATATCGGATTTGACTGATTAAGAATTGCAGCTTTGACTGGTCAAAATATAAAGCTATACATAAGATAGAGGGTGTATTTTCGTTAAATAATCCTCATTTAAGACGCACCATTTTTGAGGTAACCATGTAAGTTGTCAACTTTCAATCTATCTCAGTATCTATTTGCCAAATGATGCGTCTTAAATGAGGATTATTTAACAAAAAGTTATGATGTATGTAACAAACGGGCTCTCAAGATAACACGTGCACTGATTGATATTTGGATATAAGATTTTACACAATAACCATATAAAAAGAAAACCTTCATCCTAAATCCTGTTACTACTGCACCCAACATCGGAAAATGCTTTGATGGTGGTGTTGTGACACAAATATGGTGAGACAACGGTTTTTAAGGTAGTGGCAGGGAATGAGCTGATTGAGCTCACAGTTTTTTAAAAGAGGAGGGAAATTGAGCGAACAGTTTTTTAAGGCACTGAGATGGGTTATATAGAATCAAAACTCATCTCTGATTCTATGCAACCCATCTCCCTCCCTTGAAAATTTGTTTGCTCAATTTTCCACTCCTTTAAAAAAACTGTCAGCTCAATCACCTCATTCCCTCTCATTGTAAACCTATCTACATCCCCTACTCCCTTAAAAATCGCCGTCTCAGCATATTTATGTCACACCACCACCATCAAAGCATTCTCTCATGTTGGGTGCAGTGGGAAGAATCTGGAATTGCGGTTTTCTTCTCTGAGTTTGTGAAATCGAACCCAAAAATCTTCTTGCCGGTTATGTAAAAAATCGATGACCGATTTTTAGCCATCTCTAGTGATACATGATGGTACACGGTGGAGATGAATGATAGAAAAAGAAATTATATGGTCTTAGTGTTTTATTTGTTTTTAGTTGATTAATTATATTTAAGAAAAGAAAAGAAAATTAAATTAATTAAAAGATTGGTAAAATGGAGAAAAATGGTAAATTGATCAATTTATCCATGTCGTTAAGAGAAGCGTAAGAAGGGATTTGGACTCTTGATCACCTTTAATCTCAAACTCACTCATGAATCATGCTTGATAGAGGGATTGATCCAGTGCATCTTGATGCGTCGTCTCATCCTAATGTGCATCCAACGGTGGAGATCCGTTGTTACGTTTCTCAGCTTAACTATTCTTCCCACTGGAAGCCAACCCTAACATTTACTCCTAACTTACACTACGCATTAATGACAACATACATATCCTTATCCACTTGTTCTGAATGTGACGTAGTTGATGCATATTGCAATGGGGTGAGGATATATGCACCTCCTCCCTATTATTAAAGTGCACCCCTCATATCCTTTAGGTCAAAGTCAACTAATTGCATTAATTTTTTTCAAAATTTATGTCTTATAGATTTATGTTTTATAATTTTCTTCAACATTATTTTCTAATTTTATTTTTCTAAATTTATGTTTTATAATTTTTTTTGCCAAATAACTATTTCTAAATTAATTCAAGTAACTATAAAATTATTTTTAATTTTTATAATTGTATTGTTAATGTTTTAATTAATTAATAATTTATATATGTATTTTTTCTAAATAAATATTTAAAGCTACAAAGATAAAATAATTTAA